TACTTCTTCCAATCTATTTGACATTGAGGAAGCTTTGAGTTATGTGAGATTCTTTATTTGTATGGAAGATGCAACATATTTAGAAAAAAAGTCACTGATGAGGAAAAAATTGGAATTTATTCCAAATGGAGCCTAGGAAAGTAGATAAGGATTTTGCATTGCTATAGTTCACGACGATTTTAGAATGGTAGATGAGGGTTTTTTTTCAATGAGGTATCCTTGTTGAATGACTTCAACTCTACCTATATAACCCTTATTCCAAAAATCCCCCACCCAAAGGAAGTTAGTCATTATAGACCAATCAGTTTGTCTAACACTATATATAAAATCATCTCTGAGGGTATTGGTCAATGGACTGAAGACAAAGCTTGAGTTTTTGATTTCTCCAAATCAAAGTGATTTCATCCAAAGAAGATATATTAACTAGGGACAATTCTAACACTACAAGAAAAAACGGATAAGCCGGCATTTGTTAGACCACATGCTTAGCTTTTTAAACCGCCGGCATAGATATCTGTCGATGGTTCAATGGCTGCCGTATATAGTTGCGTCGCCCTAGGTCATGGACGTAGGTCTAGAATACAAAGACCGTCGGCCTAGGGAACCGTTCTGACCATTCATTTGCTGGCGGTTTTTAGAGAACCATTGGCTTAGTTATTGAGCCAATGGTAGCCCAAATCACTGGGACAGGTGGCCTTGACCGTCGGATTAGTTATTGAGCTGACGCTCTTGACCACCCGTTTAAATTAATTTGTCACTTCCATAAACCACCAGTTTAGCTAAATTTTGTAATCAAATCCGACAGTTTCAACTGCCAGCTTAGACTAAAAATTCATGTACATAAACCACCGCCATTCATGTTTTATTTCGTCAAAGGTGGCAGTTTGAACTGCCTGTGTAGACTTTATATAGACCGTCGGTTTAAGTGTAATGCTTTACCAAAGGTGGCGGTTTGTTTGACTACTGGCTTATGTGTTTAATTTTTTTTTTTTTTAAATTAATAATTTCAGTTGACACCTGCTGAAACCTAAAGTGTTCCAAGTATCATTGTAATGGTTTGCGGATAATAGTAACAGTAAAATAAAAAAATTATGATAGAGAAAACTGAACTGAGCTTAGTGGATCGAGAGAAAAAATTGAAGTTGTATTCTGATGTTTCTCTGATAAACCGAAGCAGTAGAGAAGGGGAATATATATAGTAGATGGAGTCGGTTGAAAGTGAACCGATGTACATGAACGAAGACTCATTAACTCACCTTGGGAGAGGTATCGACAGACTTTGGAAGATACAACGACTTGCATCGGAATGGAACAAACATTGAAAAGAGGCTTAACTTTACTGTTATTCGAGAGGACTGATTCACTGACTTCTGGAAATGTGAAGCAACATTTAATACTCCTCCATGGTGCACATTTCAGCAACTCCAATCATATCTCGTAACAATTTGAACTTCCCTTTTGGTAGAGCCTTTGTGAATATGTCAGCTAACTGTTCTTCAGTTTTGCAATGTTTGAGCTCTATTTCTTTGTTTCCTTCTACTTCTCTGATAATGCGATACTTGATGCCAATATGTTTGGTTCTGCTGTGAAATATCGGATTCTTTGCCATTGCAATAGCAGATTTGCTATCGTAGTAGATTTCAGTGGCACCAACTTGTGGTTCTCCCTTGTCATCAAATATCCTTTGAGCCATATAGCTTGGCTCATTGTTATTGCTACTGCAATATATTCTGCTTCAGCTGATGATTGGGCAACAGTTGCTTGCTTCTTTGAAGCCCAAGAAAATATCCTTGATCCAAGTGCGAAAGCATAACCGGATGCACTTTTCATGTCATCTACCGAACCTGCCCAGTCACTGTCGGTGTAGCCAATGAGCTTAGAGTCATGTGTGACTCCGTACCAAATTCCATAGCTCTTTGTTCCTTGCAAATACCTTAGTATTCTTTTAGCTGCTCCATGATGAACTTGACTTGGGTTTTGCATGAATCTTGATAGTAGACTAACTGCATACATGATGTCTGATCTTGTAGCTGTTAAATAGAGAAGACTTTCAATCATACTTTGAAATTGTGATTCATTTGCCTTTGGTGAGCCATCTTCCTTTTTGAATGCTTTAGTGTTGTCTAATGGAGTGGAGGCTGTTTTGCACCCCTCCATTTTGAATTTCTTCAAAAGAGTTTCTGTATACTTCTTTTGTGAGATGAATGTCCCTTCTTCTTCTTGAATTATTTCAATTCCAAGAAAGAAGTGCATTAGGCCTAAATCAGTCATCTCAAAAGTCTTCATCATGTCTTCYTTGAACTTCTTGACCATCTTCTCATTATTTCAAGTATAAATAAGATCATCAACATATAGAGAAACAATGAGAGTGTCATTTGTACCTTGAGTTTTGATGTAGAGTGTTGGCTCACTATAGCTCCTCCTGAATCCTTGCTCCAAGAAGTAATTGTCAATTCTATTGTACTAAGCTCGTGGAGCTTGTTTTAAGCCATATAATGCCTTCTTTAATATAAGAACTTTGTCTTCTTGTCCTTGCACCATGAACCCTTGAAGTTGCTCCACATAGATTTTCTCCTTAAGATAGCCATTGAGGAATGCAGATTTCACATCAAGTTGAAAAGTTTTCCATTTCTTTTGTGCAGCAAGTGCTGTCAATGCCCTGATTGTGTCAAGGCGAGCAACTGGAGCAAAAGTCTCATTGTAGTCGATACCGTATTGTTGTGAGTATCCTTTAGCAACTAGCCTTGCTTTAAGCTTCTRGATTGAGCCATCTGAGTTAAGCTTTGTCTTGTAGACCCACTTAACTCCAATAGTGTCTTTGTCTTGTGGATGATCCATAAGATCCCAAGTCTCATTTTTTTCAATCATTTTTATTTCTTCATCCATAGCTTTTCTCCAATTTTCTTTCTTAAAAGCTTATTCAAAGCTTTCTAGTTCTATGATAATCAAATTGCATGTTTCATATATTTCTGTTAAGGATTTAGTTCACCTTGGTAGTGAGTCCGGAGTAGACTGTGAAGCTTGTTTTGGTTCCGATTGTGTTGGCAAACTGATTTGATCACGATCTTCTTCAATTCKTTGACTTAGTAATAGAGGCAAGTTGATAGTCTTTCTTTCAAYTTCTTTTGTCTCCCAATTGTATGCAGCATCCTCGTCGAAGCTTATGTCTCGACTAATTATGAGTTTTTCTTTCCTTAAGCTATAGACTCAATAACCTTTTGATTGAGTGCTATAGCCTAAGAAAATTCCTTTTTCAGCCTTCTCATCCAGTTTGCCTCTTTTCTCTTGTGGGACATGTGTGTAGCATATGCATCCGAAAACTCTGAGATGCTTTGGTGATGGCTTTTGCCCACTCCAAGCTTCAATTGGTGTCCTATCTTGCACAGCTTTAGTAGGACATCTGTTGAGCAGATAGACAGCAGTGCTTACTGCCTCTGCCCTGAAAATTTTGGGAAGACCTTTTTCCATGAGCATAGCTCTTGTAGTCTCTATAACTATTCTGTTTTTTTTCTTTCGGATACTCCATTCTGTTCTAGAGTATAACCGACTGTAAGTTGATGCTCTATGCCTTCATCTTCATAGAACTTGTTGAATTCATTGGAAGTATATTCTTTGCCTCTGTCACTTCTTATGGTCTTGATGTTGTGATCACTTTTGCTTCTCAACACGGGCTTTGAATTTTTTAAAAAAAAAACCTGCGATTTTTCTCACAAGAAATAAACCCATGTCATTCTAGTATAATCATCAATGAAGATGATGAAATACCTGTTTTGATTATTTGATGGAGTACGCATTGGACCACAAACATCTGTATGAATTAACTCCAATGGCACTTTGGCTCTCCAAGCTTTCCCAAATGGGAAGGGTTGTCGATGTTGTTTTCCGAGCATACACCCTTCACAGACATTGTTGAACTCCTTGATAGCTAGTAGGTCACGCACCATGTTCTTCTGCTGAAGAATCCTTAATCCATGGAGATTAAAGTGTCCGAATCTTCTATGCCATAGCCATGACTCGTCCACTTGTACTTGCATTGCTATATAACTTGCATCTTTCCATTGAATGGGGAAACATCTGTTTTCTATCATTTTTGTTTTTGCAATTTCAAGGGACTTGTCTTGCTTATCATAGATTGTACAAGAGTTTCCCTCAAAATGTAGAGAGTAACCTCTTTCTATCATTTGGCTCACACTAAGTAGATTTTGATCAATATTGGGGACCAAAAGTACATCATTTATGTATTTCTTGCCTTGTTTGGTGTCAACAACAATGGTRYCTTTGYCGGTTGCTTCCATGAAGTCGCCATTACCAATTTTGACTTTTGTCTTGATTTTATCAAGGCTATGAAAGATGCTTCCATTTTTAGTCATGTGGTTACTACACCCACTGTCAAGATACCAAATATCCTTTTTCTCTTCTATTGCAGAATGACAAGCATAAAAGAGATTATTTTCCTCATTTTTCTTTTCTGAAAAATTAGCTTGATGGGTTTTCTTGAATCTACAAACTTTTTCAACATGGCCAAATTTTTTATAGTTTTGGCACTGTAGTTTTCCTTTAAACCAGCAATCTTTCTCCAAGTGGTTTCTCTTTTTGCAAATACCACATGAAGAATACTTGTCATTATTTTCTTTTGGTTTTCCTTGTGACTTYCTTCCATCAACTTTTGGTTTATGACACCGCAGATTAACTTTAGACTGAAAGGCAGCTTCAACCAAATTTTCATTCTGCCTATCACGCCTATGCTTAAATGTCTCGAGAGAGCCCATCAATTCTGTTGGTGATAGTGTTTCTAGATCCTTTGTTTCTTCTATCGCCGAAATTATTGGATCATATCTCTCTGTACAAGAGATTAGAATTTTTTTGACTATTTTCTTGTCAGAAATAGTCTCCCCATAGGCTTTCATTTGATTTACTATTTCTTTTATTCTAGAATAGTAATATTTTACAATCTCATTATCCTTCATCTTAAGATTTTCAAAATCCCTTCTAAACTTCTGCAATTTAACAGTGCGTACCTTGACAGATCCCTGATACTCGTTCTGTAGTGTATCCCATGCTTCTTTTGTAATTGATGCGCCCATGATTCGAGGAAGTATCTCCTCAGCCATTGCTTGATGTAAGCAGAATAGTGCTTGACAATCCTTTTGTTGATTCTCTTCACAGATCTTCTTTTGATTTGCGGAAAGAGTAGAGGTGTCTTTAGCAATGCAGAATCCTTCCTCAACGATTCTCCATAAACTTTGTGACYGAAAATAGGTCTTCATTTTGATGGACCAGAAGTCATAGTTTTCTCCATTGAAGATTGGAATAGAAAGGGTGGAACGATTGGCTTCTGCACACATATTGTTTAGAAGAACTCACACCCAAGAGATTGATCGAATGGGCTCTGATACCACTGATGGTTTACGGATGATAGTAATAGTAAAATGAAAAAATTATGATAGAAAAAACTGAAGTGAGCTTAGTGGATCGAGAGAAAAAATTGAAGTTGTATTCTGATGTTTTTCTCTGATAAACCGAAGCAGTACAGAAGGGGGATATATATAGTAGATGGAGTTGGTTGAAAGTGAACCGACATACATGAACGAAGACTCATTAACTCACCTTGGGAGAGGTATCGACAGACTTTGGAACTGATTAACTTTGGAAGATACAATGACTTGCATCGGAATGGAACAAACATTGAAAAGAAGCTTAACTTTACTGTTATTCGAGGGGACTGATTCACCGACTTCTGGAAATGTGAAGCAACATTTAATACATTGTAGTAAAAATAGAAATGAAAAAATAAATATTTATTTAAATAAGCATCCAAGAAAAAAGAAACATCTATTCAAATAAGTATCCAAGTATCAATTTCGATAGCTTCCATACTTGGCTCAATAGGGTCAATATTGCTTCAGAGAAAACAGTGGGTGCAATAGAATAAACTAGAGAATGTGGTCATGCAGCCTTCACCTACATCTTTTTAAATGGAGATGAGAGAGCATTCCATAGGCAGATCAGGAGAGTCCAATGCCATCTCCATCATGGCATATCTGTTAGAAGTGCAACCTTAATTTTAGAGACCCCTTGTAGTTCACATTATAAGGCAAACATCCGTTCATAGATAGAAGTACACCAAAGTTTATGCCAACAAAAAGATAGAAGTACAAACACTATTTATCAAAAAAAAGATAGAATTATACCAAGTTTGCAACAACAAAAAGATAGAAGTACAAACACTGTTTATCAAAAAAAAAAAAAAAAGTATACCAAGTTTATACCAGCAGAACAATAAACACATACCGATCTCCTATATACTTTCCCCGTGTGAAGTAGCCCAAACCCAATTCCTCCACAAGAGCATGCTGCTTATCAGGACCCTAGTGTCTGGCAAATGCTATGAGCTTATGACTGTCCAAAGTATTCCCCCTGAATTATTGAATCATGGTTAGTTGAAACTCTGGCAAAGGCCATCTTTCTCCTACATAATGGTATCTATGATTAAGCCACATTTCAGGTTTAAGTAAGCCCAAACATGTCATAATCACGGCCATGACCCCGAAATATCTGCAAGAATTAAAGCTTTCAAAATGCTTTTAATAACTAAATAAAACAAAGGAAACAAAAACTCTATATTAAGTGATTTGATAAATGAGAAAAACCTCCGTCATCCAAGCTTTAATTTGTTCAGCCCGAGATCCAAACTTCCTTCTGTAAAATTTTGCCTTGTTAACTACTTCTTTTGGGGCAGAAGGATTAAGGAAAAATGGATGCCATCTAATTTGAAAATTTAACCAGTAGTAAATCCAACATGTGGTGAAAAAATAAACAACTTAGGAAACAAGAAAAATGATAAGGAAGTGAACCTCAAAATCAAATCTATCCTTTGATGAAGTTATAGCTTTATCCAGATTCCTTTTGCCAACAAAACACCATGGGCAAACAGTGTCTGAACTGATATCAATTTGAACGAGTTTCTTCCCGGCGTTGTTATCTTCTAATTGAGCCATGAATCTTGTGTATCTGCAAGTTTTACAGAATATTATCATAAACTTCAATACTTCTACCATACGAAACCTTGTAAGGCAAGGAATCAAACCAGTCAGAGTAATTAAATTCTTAATTTCAATCTCCCCACCGGCATAATCTTTAGTAGGCCACTTCTCGTTGGTCCTCAAGGGAATCATCATATAGAAGGAAATCTAGAAAAGTGTGAAAGAATCATAACCAGAACATAACACAATGACATGCTAGGGTATCTTACAACTCAAATTAAAAGTACCTTAGATTTCTTCCAAATGGGAATATGGGAATCCTCCCAGAGT